GCAGAGCACCAGACACGCATGCAACTGGCTTTTGAGGAAGCCAGGGAGAAGCTGAAGATTGCTGCAGATAGGAGAAAAAGAAATAATGACCAGCATGTTCAAGATTCTCCTCTGCATGAAGGTCAACTTGTCCTACTGCGAGACACCAGTCAACAGGGAAGACACAAAATTCAGGATCTGTGGCGCTCTAAGGTGTATAAGGTCCTAAAAGTACTGGGTGACACCAGAGATGTTTACACTGTGGCTCCTGCAGATGAGCTGAACAAAATTAAAAGGGTCCACAGATCTCTACTGAAGCCAGTTGTTTGCAGTGAAGTCCCAGTATCAGCAATTGGGGAACCTCTGTTAAGTGATTCATCCTTTGAGGATGAAACTGATCCTGATTTGTTTTTGAGGGTAAATGTCAACCAACCACCGCCTTCTTTGCCAGTCAACCCACCCATGGCCAGATATGACATGGTTCCTCGGTCCGCTGAGATATATCGTCCTCAAGCGCCTTCAACATCCGCCTCTCAAGCGCCTTCAACATCCGCCTCTCAAGCGCCTTCAACATCCGCCTCTCAAGCGCCTAGTGTTGCTAGCTTAAGTAAAGATGAGGGCCCTCTAAGGGTAATGAGAAGAACTGTGTCCACCATCTCCCAAGAGCAACAGGATTAGTGCATGGGGCTGCAAACTCTCCTGATGCACACTGTAATGCCGTTTGTGCACTGTTTAGACCTTGGTGTTAGTGTTTTTTGGAGTCGTCGCCGGGGCGTCTACGCAAGTTGGGGGGGTAGACTGTAGCAGCATAAATGGTACGCTGCCTCTTTAAGATCAATTTCGGTTGCTGCATATAAGCAGGTACCCATCTGCCACGAAGCTGCTTGCGTCATGACGTCGTATCATTTTGGTTCCTTTGTCTGCTGAACTGTGCTGGGTAAGCGTGGCTGTTTCTTTGTTTGTCAGCGTTTATCTTGGTTATTAATGCAAACTGGTCTGCTCCGTTTAGCCTCTTTTGCTGCTCCTCCAAAACCCGGACTGATCTGTTCGTTTGTTTGCTTGATGCCAGGAAGGTAAGGGCTAGCGTGGCTAGATAACATCCACCCCATATAAACAAAGCCTTTACACAGCATTTTGTTACAGCTGCGCTGCATAGGCGGAATTGTGAAACCGTTTATTTGGCAGCCTGGTAATGCAACAGGTAAGCGGCTATCATGAATAGTAGTTTCATCAGCAGTTGTATTGATGGTTTGCTTTGATGGTTTGCTTTATTTTTTTTTTAGCCTCCTGATGAGTCTTGACTACCATTATACTGGATTTGACACTCGCTGCTGTTTTGCCTAAAAGGAACTGTTTTGAGAGATCTATTTAGACTTTCCCCTGTTGTCGGGAGCATTGATGGCACTCCATCTGGATAAAAGTGCAATATTGTAGTGCTGTCGTGCCACCGTTTTACTCATTGTTTTATTTTTTTGTCTTTCTTTTAGGGACTGAGGCTTCTGTGGTGGCTGTGGTGACCCCTGGTGGCGGTGTCTTGTTTTGTGTGTTTTGTGGGAGCTCCTTTATTTTTTTTGTTTGCCGTGTTTTTGTAGTGTCCAGGGTGATCCTTTTTCGTCACTGGATGCTGCCCCTTTTCTCACCACTTCCCCCTCCCACTGGTAAGCCTCAGGTTCCTTTTAAAATTTAAATATTTTACAATCAATTTTATTAAAAATGCATTCACTGTTTTAACCATTTAATTGCAGATTATTGTGACTATTTTTAAACAAAGGAAGAATATTGAAGTTAATAAACTTTTGTAAAACTATTTGAATCTTGTCTCATTTCCAATAGAACTTACCTGTGTCCTTACTATTCTATTTTCCTGGAGTTATTCCAGGTGGCGTTGTCGGTATACCATATTAACTTTAACATCCAGCACTTGGATTTAACCAAAAAAAAAGAGAGAAAATCCAACCACCCCTCGCAGGTTGCCACACAAACAGGTTAATAAGGAAACTTAGTGACATGAAAATGAAAGTTGACATTGTCGATTTATTGCAGAAGGAATCAGGAAGCAGAGGATATATATATATATATATATATATATATATTTATTTATTTATTTATTTATTTTTTTTTCTTCCTGCCATGTGGTCCACACTCCATACGAGTTGGTGGCGGTAATGCCACCAACTGGTAACTGCCAACTGTCAATAAAACTCAATGAGAAGAAGAAAACAAAAAAAATAGATATTGAAATTTAAATACATTTTTTTATTGACTTGTTATTGCCACTCGCAGTCAGAAGACTCCAAGGTCGTCTGTGTGGCATCCCAGGGACTCCTATTCAGTCAAAATTGTGTGTGTGTGTGTATATATATATATATATATATATATATATATATATATATATATATATATATATATATATATATATATATATATATGTGTATGTTCTCTAGTAATATTTATTTTATATCCTCTGTAAATAGTTGTAGTAATTTTAAAATCTAATGTAAATACTTGTTTCCCTAAAACTAAACTGATGTTGTCACTGAGAAATTGTTCTAAGTTTACTTAAATTGTAAAGAAGTGATGAAACAGATCATGTAAAAAGGTTAAAAGACTTAAAGAACACACTGACAACAATAAATTTATAAACAATTTAATAATTTAACAATAACAGCAACACAGAATCTCAACTTGTTAAAAAAAACACCAAAAAAATGAACGTCTGTCCACCATCCTCTCCAATAAATTAAATAATCTGTCCATCCTTTCCCGCCTCCCTCTGCCATCTGATATCCTCCCTGATTAAATCCACCAACTCGTCACTCCTTCTTATCTTCCTCCTTTCCCTCCTCTCTCATCCTCATTCTCTTCCTAATCGTCAACCTGGTGCTGCTCATCCTCTGCAGCACCTGGCCCTGGTGTGTCCTAGTGTCAATTTCGTTAACGAAAACTAAACGAAAATATTTTCGT